ACCAGAAACTGCAAGTTTTTCACAACACTAGATATAAATTCAGCGTTTTGGTCCATCCCGTTAAAAATAGAAGATAGAAAAAAAACTGCATTTGTTACCCAACAAGGACACTATCAGTGGACATGTTTACCTTTTGGATTGAAGACTTCCCCTGCTATATTTCAAAGGATATTAAGTAGTATTATACGAAAACATAAACTTAGTGACTTCACCGTAAATTACATTGATGATATACTGGTTTTCTCAGAGACATTTGCAGATCATATTAAACATTTAAAAGCATTGTTGGAAGCAATATCAATAGAAAGATTCAAATTAAAATTTTCCACAAGATTCCGTTAAATATTTGGGTCATATAATCAAAAACAATACTATATCCCCTTTGAAGGACAATTTAATTGCAATAAAAGAGTTTCCTATCCCTACGACACAGAAAAATGTAAGACAATTTCTTGGTAAAATTAATTTTTATGGTAAATATGTGCCAAATATTTCAATTATATTAGATCCATTACATAATTTGTTAAGGAAAGGTGAAACTTTTAATTGGTCAGCTAGCTGTCAAAAATCATTTGAAGCCATAAAAAAATTACTTTGTACAAAACCAATCTTGACAATATTTGATCCAAACCTCCCAATCAGAATTTATACAGATGCCAGTATACAAGGTGTAGGAGCAGTATTAAAACAATTACAACAAAATGGTGATGAAAAGCCATGTGCTTATCTTTCAAAAAAATTGAATGATTCACAAAAACGGAAAAAGGCTATTTATCTGGAGTGCTTAGCAATAAAAGAGGCAGTGAGATATTGGCAACATTGGCTTATAGGGAGAAAGTTTACAGTTTACTCAGACCATAAACCGTTAGAAAAAATGAACATAAAAGCTAGGACTGATGAAGGGTTAGGAGATCTTGCATTTTATTTGTCTCAATTTAATTTCGAAGTGATATACTCAGCAGGAAAAAATAATTTAGAAGCAGATAGTTTGAGCAGAAATACTGTATTCACTCATCTGATAATCAGGAAGAATTTTGAATTGTGATTTATTGAACCAAAGACATAACAACTGATCAAGAAACAATAATCAAGATTTAAAACCAAAAACAAATAGTCCTGATTCATAAAAATGCAATATATATAAAAAAATGGAATAAAAGAAAAATTGTTTTTATCTGAAGACTTTAGCAGTAATTTTGATAGAAGAGATAACATAACGGTTATTGTCATTTAGGAATACAAAAAATTACAGAAAAAATTATTAAATTTTTGTTATGCAAAAAATTAATATGTAAAATGTTAAAAAAATATGTAACAACTGTGAAAACCTTTATAAAAAACAAATCCATAGTCGAATTTCAATTTGGTTATTAATGTCTCGACTTAGGACCAGCTACTTACCCATTTGAAATAGTATCAATTAATTTTTTAAACACTATAGGAGTTTTGGTGGGCCACGTTCCACTAAAACTTACTTGCGTCTTTTTAGTGGACCATTTAACAAGACTTTGCCTACATGTTTGACGTCGAAAACTCAAAGTACACCCGATTTTATAAAGCTAGTCAATAAAGCACTACTGAAACAATTATAAGATTGGCATGATTTTATCGACGCAATATCCAGGAATACAATTCTCAGATTTTAAAAATTTTTTAGCGGACAAAATATGCCTATTGTATTCAACTGCTGTAATGCGCCCTTTTCCAATGGTTTAAATGAAAGATTAAATCAAACACTAGTTAATAAAATTCGATGCAAACTAAATGAAAAACGAAATAAAAATTAAGCTGGACAACTATTGCACTGAATGTACTGAAAAATATAATGAAACTGAACTACAGTAACAGGATATTCCCCAAAATATTTATTAGAAGGAAAAATGTTGATATTTTGCCAAATGAATTAAAACTATATTGTAAAACGGCTATAGAAAACAATTTAGTAAAAGATATGGAAATAGCATTGGAAAAAAGTATAAAATCACATAATTACAATAAACAACAATTTGAATAAGAATAAAACAATTAGAATTCAAGTGGAGATTTGGTGTATGTTGAAAATGGAACTCGATTAAATATAAAAAACTTGATGAATTGAAAATAGGTCCTTTTGAAATTATACAAAAGTTATCAAATTCAATATATAAAATAAAAACAGTATATAAAAAAGTCAGGAGTCCATCTTTTTCCACATTTACAAAACTGATTCCATGTCACAAAGTAGCTAATGACTGCTGAGTACTTAATGGGTACAGTTTTTGTACTCCTAGGTGGGGAGATGTAAAGAAGGTCATAATATATTAATCTTCTTTAGTTTTATGTAGTTTTTTGAACGCAGCTTATAATGTCATGATGGTCGCTGCTGTCACTATTAGGATTACTCTTTAAGAACACGTGGTGAAATAATTATTAATATTATATAATAATAAATTAGGAATAAGTTAATAGCTTTTAAATGTTGTTTCTTTCACCAGGTTTGTAACTTGTGATGATTTATAATAATACATTTCTTTCACAGAGAGAAAACGCAATTGAGCTTTTATTAGTACATAACCTTTGGCATTGTAAATACACATTATACAGGGTGACTGGTGAGTTACTATCAATATTTAAGGAGCATACTCGGTACATGATTCTCATTCGAATTATGTAAAAAAAAAAGGTACTTAATTTTTGACTAATTTCCGTATAAATAAATAAAGTTTGGATACGTACTCATCCTTGACCCGGCGCCAGTGTGTCGCTACTCCCCAACCCCCCGCCCCGTGGCTAGCGGGCCATTAGTCGGCTATTAGTCGCGCGAGGTCCGCCGTAAGGTCCGTACGTTCGTCTTCCCGCGCGCGCGCCTAGCGATCGATCTTACGCGTCTATACTAATAATAATCTGTCGTGTGTGCGTGTGTGACCCGTTATTACTTATTAGTAATTAAATATGGCTTTTCAATACACAAATGCAGAATACTTGGACATGGTTTATGCGTATGCGCGTGCAAATGAAAGCTTGCGGGGCGCGCAATCAATTTGTACCGGGAGATGTTCCCCAATCGTCGAGTACCTACGGCCAGCGTCATCTTAAACGCTAATCAAAGAGTTACGAGACTTCGGACAGTTCCGTGTTCCAACACATGCCCAAGGACGAGGAGGAGCAGCCTACCCTGTCTTCCTACAAGAAGAGATTCTCGAGTATTTTGAGAACAACCCAGTAGCAAGTACTCGACAGGCTGCTAGAAGATTTGTTGTATCTCAGTGGACTGTGTGGAATCTACTTCACAAAGAAGGGCTACACCCTTATCATTTTCAACCTATTCAAGAACTCAGTGCCAACGATCATGAGCCACGACTAAATTTTTGGTCGGTGGTTTTTGCAAAACATTGACAAAAAACATATTGTTCACGGATGAAAGCTACGTTTACTAAGTTAGGTATTTTTAACGTACACAATGAACATTGGTGGAGTCATTTCAATACATACGTTACGCGACAGGACGCTTATCAACACAGGTTTAGTGTTTAACGTGTGGGCTGGTGTTTTGATTTAATAACTGTTTTGTTAGGGCCGTATTTTCATCGAAGGAAGACTCCAATGCTGTGTCATACTTAGACATTTTAAAACAGTGCGTTGTGAATGACATGCTCGATGATATACCACTGAGCAATCTCCAAAACTTATTTTATCAACACGACGGAGCACCCGCGCACTATCAGGCGCAGGTACGTGAGTACTTTAAACAATACGTTTGGAGATCGCTGGATAGGGCGCGGAGGGCCTGTGCCATGGGCCAGCTCGCTCTCCGGATCTCACTCCACTGGACTTCTAGTTTTATGGGGGGTGAGGTTTAAAACGTCCGTTGTGTATTGCTTACAGAGTATGTCAACAGAGAGGAGTTGAATATAAAAATCAATAGTGCTTTCGAAACTATTAAAGTGACCCATCGTCGTATTTAAATCGTGTGAAAGAGAAATATGCGTAAGCGTGCCGAAACTGTGTATCACACGAGAAGCACCCTGTATATATAAAATATAATTGATTATTTATATTTTTTTTATATTAGTAGTATGTTTTGTGTGCCTATAACTACTTGGGAAGTTGCTTACTTTAGATACTTAAGTATAGAGTTGGTACAGCATTTTGAGTAATTCGTGTACTAGAAGAACGGTAAAAATCATTAAATTGTAAAAATTTTATGTAATTTTAAATCATTGCTCTTAATATAATGTAGGAGTTAATAACTAATAACTAAACTAAACTAATAATAACTTTAATTTCTTATATATTGTGAAATGTATTAAGAATTAGAATATATTTTAATTAAGGAATTAATTGTTGTTTTTTCATTTTTATTTGTTGAAAAAAAAACCTAATAAACCTTCAAAGTAAACTGAAATGACGGAGATATACCAAATGTCCTTATATACCAATTTTCCTTATAAATCAAAGGTCTTTATATACCAATTTTCCTTATATACCAATTTTCCCTATATACCATTTTATTTATATGCCAAATGTGCCATCCAAATATAACAAAAATACCGCCATCACCGTCACATCATCATCCCATCATCTCCATCATCATCATCTCCCATCACCCCCATCACCCCCATCATCCCCATCATCCCCATCATCTCCATCATCTTCATCATCCCCCATCACACCCATCATCCTCATCAGACACATCATCCCCCTCAATCAACCCCATCATCCTCCATCACCCCACATCATCCCCATCACATGTCCTCCATCATCCCCATCCACATCACCCCAATCTACACCCCATCATCATCTCCATCATCTCCCATCCCCAATCTCCATCATCCACATCATCATCCCCATCTCCCCATTCATGCCCATCATCATCATCCATCATCCCCTCCATCATCCCCATCATCTCCAACATCCATTCATCCCCCTCATATCATCTCCATCACCCATCATCACCATCATCCATCATCATCCTCCATCATCCCCATCATCTCCATCATCCCCATCATCATCCCCCATCATCATCCATCATCACCCATCATCTCCATCATCCCCCCATCATCCCCATCCCCACAACCCCATCATCCCCATCACCCCCATCATCCACATCTTCTCCATCATCCCCATCCCATCATCATCCCCATCATCCATCATCCCCATCATCCCCATCCCCATCATCCCCATCACCCCCATCATCTCCATCATCCCCATCATCCACATCATATCCCTCATCCCCATCAACCCATCATCCCCATCCATCCCCATCCCCATCATCTCCCCATCACCCCATCTTCCATCATCCCATCATCCACATCCATCATCATCCCCATCATCCCCATCCATCCCCATCATCCCCATCATCCCCATCATCATCCCATCATTCATCTCATCACCCATCATCTCCATCATCCCCATCATCCCCATCATCCCCATCCCCCATCTCCATCATCCCCATCACACATCATCCATCATCCCCATCATCCCCATCATCCCCCATCATCCCCATCATCCATGTCATCATCCCCATCATCCCCATCACACCCATCATCCCATCATCTCCCCATCATCCCCATCATCTCCATCATCTCCATCATCCCCATCACCCCCATCATCCCCATCACCCCAATCATTCCCGTCATCCCCTCCATCATCTCCATCACCCCATCATCCCCATCACCCCCATCATCCCATCACCCCCATCATGTAATTTCATCATCTCCATCATCCCCATCATCCCCCATCATCATCCCATCACCCCCATCATCTCCATCATCATCTCATCATCCCCATCATCCCCATCATCCCCATCCCCATCATCCCCATCACCCCCATCATCTCCTCCATCCCATCATCCCCATTGCCCCTCATCCCCATCATCCCCCCATCATCCCCATCATCCCCCCCATCATCCCCATCATCTCCATCATCCCCATCATCCCCATCATCCCCCATCATCCCCATCATCCCCATCATCCCCCATCATCTCCATCACCCCCATCATCCCCATCACCCCCATCATCCCATCATCTCCATCCCCCATCATCCCCATCACCCCATCATCATCCTCATCATCCCCATCATCCATCATCCCCATCACCCATCATCCCCATCATCCCCATCACCCCCATCATCCCATCACCCCCATCATCCCCATCATCCCCATCATCCCCATCATCATCATCCATCATCCCCATCATCCCCATCATCCCCATCATCCCCATCACCCCCCATCATCCCCATCATCCCCATCATCCCCATCATCCCATCATCCCCATCATCTCCATCATCTCCATCATCCCCATCATCCCCATCATCACCCATCCCATCATCCATCATCTCCATCATCTCCATCACCCCCATCATCCCCATCATCCCCATCATCATCATCCCCCATCATCCCCATCATCATCATCCCCATCATCCCCATCATCCCCATCATCCCCATCATCATCATCCCCATCATCCCCATCATCCCCATCATCCCCATCATCCCCATCATCATCCCATCATCCCCATCATCCCCATCATCCCCATCATCCCCATCATCCCCATCATCCCCATCATCCCCATCATCCCCATCATCCCCATCCCCCATCATCCCCATCATCCCCATCATCCCCATCATCCCCATCATCCCCATCATCATCCCATCATCATCCCATCATCACCCCACCCCATCATCCCCATCATCCCCATCATCCCCATCATCCATCATCATCCCCATCATCCCCCATCATCCCCATCATCCCCATCATCCCCATCATCCCCATCATCCCCATCATCCCATCATCCCCATCATCCCCATCATCCCCCATCATCTCCATCATCCCCATCATCCCCATCATCCCCATCACCCCCATCATCCCCACCCCATCATCCCCATCATCCCCATCATCCCCATCATCCCCATCACCCCCATCATCCCCATCATCCCCATCATCCCCATCACCCCCATCATCCCCATCACCCTCATCATCTCCATCATCCCCATCATCCCCATCACCCCCATCATCCCCATCATCCCCCGTCATCCCCATCATCCCCATCATCATCCCATCATCCCCATCACCCATCATCCCCATCATCCCCATCATCCCCATCATCCCCATCATCCCATCATCACCCCATCATCCCCATCATCCCATCATCCCCATCATCCCCATCATCCCATCATCTCCATCATCCCCATCATCCCCATCATCCCCTATCATCCCCATCACCCCCATCATCTCCATCATCCCCATCATCCCCATCATCTCCATCATCTCCATCATCTCCATCATCCCCCATCATCCCCATCATCCCCTCCATCATCTCCATCATCTCCATCATCCCCATCATCCCATCATCATCCCCATCATCCCCATCACCCCCATCATCCCCATCATCCCCATCATCCCCATCATCCACATCATCCCCATCATCTCCATCATCCCCATCACCCCCATTCATCCCCATCATCTCCATCATCCCCATCATCCCCATCATCCCATCATCTCCATCATCTCCATCACCCCCTTCATCCCCATCATCCCCATCACCATCCCCATCATCTCCCATCATCATCCCCCATCATCCCCATCATCTCCATCATCCCATCATCATCCCCATCACCCCCATCATCTCCATCATCCCCATCATCCCCATCACCCCCATCATCCCCATCATCTCCATCATCCCTATCATCCCCATCATCATCTCCATCAGCCCCTTCATCCCCAGCACCCCCTTCATCGACGTCATCCCCATCACCTCCATCATCTCCATCACTCCCTTCATCCCCATCATCCCCCTCATCCCCATCATCTCCATCACACCCATCATCCCCATCATCTCCATCATCCCTATCATCTCCATCAACTCCATCATCTCCATCATCTCCATCATCTCCATCATCATCCTAATCACACCCATCACCCCATCATCCCTACATCCCCATCATCCACATTATCCCCATCACACCCTTCATCCCCATCACCCCCATCATCCCCATCATCTCCATCAGCCCCTTCATCCCCATCACCCCCATCATCCCCATCATCTCCATCATCTTCATCATTCTCTTAATCCCCATCACCCCCATCATCTCCATCATCCCCATCACCCCCATCATCCCCATCACCCCCTTCATCCACGTCATCCCCATCACCTCCATCATCTCCATCACTCCCTTCATCCCCATCACCCCTATCATCCCCATCATCCCCATCAACCCCATCTGTCAAAAAAAAAGAGAAATGTCTTCGTTTTTTTTTAGATTATTTTAAGAGTGAATGTTCATATGTAGTTGTTGTTCATACTTGTTCATAGTTCTGTGCCTCTCCCCTTATTACATGTTTGAAAAGATATACGGCGGAAGGAACGTTTCAAGATTTTCATAAAAATCATAAAAAAATATCAACTTTACACATTTGTTCAAATTATGTGTGCTACAATATTCGTTTGAGTCAGATGGAAATATTTTTATGAGTGTGTGAGGGCAACAGAAAGTAAGAATATAACCTTAACAGTTTTATTGTGAAAATATGACAACACCCGATCTTAATGTAAACGTTAGTAGAGACAAAGACATCCTGCTCCCTCAGCACCATTATGAATAAATAAACTGTTTAATAGGAATTAGATTACGATAATTAATATATAATAAAACAACGTGTGTCAACTGAAGATCGACAGAAGAATGATTTATTGAACATAGACAAATACAATAACGCTTATTGACATGATTGCCACAAGATGGCTAGTTGTATCCATATTTTGATATCCACAACACTTCCCATTAAAATATGATCTATTTTAAACTATATAAATACTTAACATGAACTTAAAGTTAAAATATATTACACTCTAACAATTCCTAAAGCATTTACATGTTTATAATGTTTTACAACACTTAAGCTTTTGGTAAATAAATCTGCAGGCATATCAGATATACACAAATAATTAATACTAACAATGTTTTTATTTATAATATCTCAGCAATAGTGATACCTGACATCCATATGTTTAGTTTTATTATGGAATACTGGGTTCAGTTATAATTTCTGAGCACTCATACTGTCATTATACGAGTACAAAATAATAGTATACATTCTACAAGTCACTTCATTTTGTAAGTTTCTCAAATACACTGCTTCTTTGCAGGCTTCTGATTTTGACACATTTTCAGCTACAGTACTAGAAAGTGAAATACATTTTTGTTTGCTACAATTCCAGGATATAACTGATCCTGACAAAATATAACAAAACCCTGAATATGATTTACTGTCATTAACATCACTGCTCCAGTCCTTATATCATTATAACATATCTTCTACCTGGCAATTTCCCAGCTATAGCCAGGGTCTGCCTATATCATTATAACATATCATTATAACATATCTTTCCTTATAACATATCCTTCAATATTATCATTTTTATTCTTACTACATTTCAAACCAAATTTTATGTTTTCTTTAAGTATATATAATATTCTTTTAGCATAAACCCAAAGCTCTTCACTAATACAGTTATTGAATTGGATTAGGTATTAGGTAGGATCTTCAAACTGCCTATAAGTTGTTGATAAGGATTCTGATTATTTATTTATTTAGGCACACAAACAGAATATAATCCGGATTACATTTGAGTTACAGTCTAAAATTATATTTAGCTTGATTATATTCCCAAGCATGTGTACACTTCATAATCATTACAAAACCAATATTTTTGTCAGGAGCTACATTATTTAGGTACAATTTAAGACTAATGAATAAATAGGAACATATAACTTAAATTCAATTACTTAGTTGTTGATACAAAAAAAACATTAACGGACATTACAAATTAGTTTAAATTACATTCACTGAGTCAACAATAATATAAATAGGAGCAAAAGAGACAGATACAGTCAATTAAGATTGTGTAACAAGTATAATTAAAAAATAAAATAAAAAATTTAAAGAATTAAATTAAAAAATTATAATTATAATAATAAATAAATTGTCAAAATTAAAATATAATTCAATAACAACTACATGGCAATAAACATAAGAAAAAAAAAGTCATTGGAGAGTAAATCATTGAATCGTCAATATAATAAGCCTTACCCTATTTTTAAGCCTTGTAAAATTGGGATCAAATATATCTAACATGTCACTGTGTTTTGAAAGTAAATCATTGTATGTACGGCAGTCTAATGATAGGGTTATAATATGATGTATTACTAATGTGAACGCTGAGGACGAAGGTATTCAAATGTGGATGTTGAGATCTAAATTTGATGTTAAAATGAATGAGTGTTAATAAGGCAGATAGGTCGATTCTAGAATGAATTATTTTGTGCCATGCATAAAGTTCAATTCACATATGTCTTTATTTTAGTGTGAGCATATTAAAATAGTAAAATTCTATCTTTTAAGAAATATTAGATTTCTCAGAAGACTAATTTTTATTGTAAATCCAGAGTCATAAAAGCTGAAGGTATAAAATAAAAACAGCCCTTTTTTATTTCCCATACAAACGTTTTTTTTTACATTAGATTTGACAACTAATATGAGAATCATTCTGTCGAACTTCAAAACACGGTGATTTATGGCTTACAAGTAAACTCCAAAAATATAAATAAAAAAACGTAATAGATATTTCTTGATTATAGGGCGATACGAAGTTCGCCAGGTCTTCTAGTATTTAATAAATATTGATTAATAAGTTTACATTCCGCGAAATGTTGCGTTTAAGGAACGTTGGAATTACTGAACTTGAATTTCACTAGCAACTCTTTTATCGTAATAGTATTATGTATTACTGTGAGTTATGTATTTTAAAACAGTCAACATGAAGATGAACTTAAAATTTTTTACTCATATAAATTTTTGAACTACTTCTATATTGTCGACGTTTATTTACATGCTGAAAAAAAGAGCGTGGGAATTGAAACGTTGACGCGGGCTTTTTAAAAGGGCAATGTCCATTTTTGGCCTAGCGTGAACAAGCTGCTATCAAAAAACAAGTTTATGAAAAAATAAAATATTTTTTTAGCTAGCCATTCTATTGTTGTTGGAGTGTACATTTGTATTTTATTGAAAAAATATTTTTAAAGTATCTTCATTGATTTGCTTTATTGATCCACGTTTTGTGTTACCTGCAAGATCTCGCAGTACTTAATACAACTATAAGTATTTAATAAAAAAAATATAATATTTGTTTTTAATTAGTTTCGTCATTTAAAACGTTTTATAAACTGAAATATGAAGAATGTTAAACATAATCATATTTGTTTTCGATCGATTTTTTAATGATGTTTTTCTATTGCAACACTAATAAAACGAAAAAAATACATATTGACATTGATATGTCACAGACTGATTGTTTACATTCGCTTTGTTTACCTATATACATTGAGAGTGTTGATTTATTATGGATTTTCTTTCAACGATTGTTTATTCATTATGGGCTCCGACCTATCTTTTTCCAATGACCCCTGCACATCTACGGACCCCGAATTTCGCTCAAACGATGACCCTGGCTTTTGTATTATGGACTCTGATCAAGGCATAAACGATGAACAACACTCACGTAATATGGACCCCGAAACTAGCTCCATCGCTAACCTCGGCTTGAATATGGACATTGAACAAAACCAAAGCGTGTCTCATGATAGTCTGCACACAGAAGAAGTGACTTCTTACCAATCCGTATCTCTGAGATGCATAAACTGTGGAAGTGATTTGATAGAGAGAAGGCGACATAGTCTAGATCTTAATTAGGTTCAGTCTATTATAAGACAGTGGATAGCTCCTCGACGAGTAAGTGTCAATTTAATTAATTATTTAAATTACTCGTTTTTTAATAGATATGTATTGTATATGCTATTCCTATAATGCAAAATGAGGTTTTATTGTTTTATATAATTATAATCCATAAGGATTAAGTATATAAATACTGTTGTATTATAATAAATGAAAAGATGTTTACTCCTAACACATTAGCTGACTTTGTTATCGAAAATAATTTAAATAGAAGGCGGGCAGATTTTCAACCTATAAATGTAAACATGTATAGTTTCATATTTCCAAGAATAGAATATAATGATCTTATATTAATTGCATGTGGAACATACCAACTAAAACAAGCTTGTTTGTATTACGGGCAGCACATAAGAGGCGAAGGTTCCTATACTTTAGAAAAATGTAGAAATATAGCCAGCGACCTATTAGTTGACTACCTGATTCCTTTGGCCAACTGCAGATTATTGCATGGAAAAATACAAAGCAGGCATGTAAGTCAAAAAATATATTTTATATATACAGGGTGACTGGTGAATTACTATTGATATTTGAGGACGTGATATTTGACGATCATATATGACAAAATAAAAATTAATATAACATAAATATTAATAAACTTCTAAGTAAAGTCAACCAAAAGTTATGTAAATAATTACGCATCGTATGAACACCCTACAGATTAGGTATACACACACACACACACACACACGTGCGGCGGCGTGTTGTTGTATCAGCACGCCGCCGCACGCGTCCACACTTGGAACACTTGGAACGTGTACACACTTTATTTATTTATACGGAAATTTGGTCAAAAATTAAGTACCTATTTTTTTTACATAATTCGAATGAGAATCATGTACCGAGTATGCTCTTTAAATATTGATAGTAATTCACCAGTCACCCTGTATATATTATATGATAATAATCACAATGGTAAGGAAGCTATAAAAGAATATTATTGTAATTGTATGGTTGGTCGAAGGACAGTGGGTTGCTGCGCTCATATAATGACTATTTTATGGTTTTTAAGTTGGGCAAGGTATCAGGAACACATTTCACCACCTGTCCAATTTCTTGAACACATATTAATAACATATGATGTCTCAGAATAAAAATAAATCATAAAAAATGTTGTTTTATTTTGCTTTAACCTGTTTTTCCTCACATGACAAAAATCTCTTTTTAAACATTTTGATACAAAATTAAGTTCATATTCTCATTATTACTAGTTAGTGCTTTTAAACTAATTACAAAAAATATGATAAAATGGCTGTTCACGTCAGGCCAAAGTCCCCATACTAAGTGGACAATCTTCTTTTAATTATTTTAAATAGTTTTATACTATAATTTGCAAAGTTTTGTAAAAATTCACCGCGATGCTCCATATGCACAGAGGGGTATTCTTTCAAAGAATGCAAGGTTAACATTGAAAAAGCTTAAC